GGATCCCCTCCAAAAAATGGAAATCACCCAGCATCCTTGTGCATAGAGTCTGTGAGAGACTCTTCCTTAGTCCAGTACGTTACCAAGCCAGCCCATTATAGAAGTAAACAGACTCACAGTATTCTAGACCTGGCGTTTACTAGTGATGAATCAATGTTAGATGAGCTTCGTCACGAGGCTTCATTGGGCAAAAGCCATTACCAATCATTGTTTTTCAGTATTCAGTGCTGCACAGAAAAGACCTTTCGGAAGCGTGAGCGTATGAATTTCGCGAAACGTGACTATGATAATCTCCGTGAAGCAGTGAATGCAGTGAATATTTCAAACTGTATTAAGGACATGAATGTGGCTGAGTCTTGGTCATTTTTCAAGGACACGGTTATGTCTGCAGTTGATGCGCGTATACCTAAAATTTAACTCGGTGGAGCCAAAAAAACTCAGTGGATGAACAGTTTAATTGTAGCTAAGCTAAAAAACAAGAAGGAAGCCTACCAGCAGTATTTACGGACTTGTAGCGATGCAGATTATATCTTATACGCTTGAGCTCGAAATCAAGCTAGAGAAAGCTGTCGCACCGCAGTAAAAATCTTTGAAAAAAATATAGCCAAAAATGCAAAGAAGAACCCGAAAGCCTTCTTTTTGTGCGCTAGCTTGTAGTGTAAGATTAAGGACGGTATTTCTGATATGAAAGTAGATCAACAAAAGATATTTACTGATGAAGGCATGACTAACGTTCTTTATCTGTTTTTTGGTAGCGTATTTACAGACGTGGGCTTGAACAGTATTTCGGCTATTGGGAAGCGCCCAGTCGGCATTAAATTAACAAGTTTTGAAATGTATACAAGAAGAAGAGGTTCTCAGGCGCCTGGTCGCTCCCAAAAAGTCATGTGGACCTGACGGCTTCCATCTCAGATTGCTCAAATAGTTACCAACACTCCTTTTGAAGAAATTTTTGTCAAAAAACATCGAACGAAGGGATCTTGCCGGGCGACTGGAAAGAAGCTCAAGTGACACCATTGTTTAAAAAAGGTGACAAAAGCTGCCCGGGCAACTATCGCCCTGTCAGTTTGACAAGTGTTAACAAAAACGAAGGAATGGAAACAAAATATATGTGGTGACTTTGTCACAAGTTCAATATATTTATTGAAATAGGTAACTGGCACAAAGTAGGCGAAACCTATAGCACAGGCTCCGGTTGATAGGAACTCCTCACAATTAACGTACGCTCCCAGCCACTGACGATCGTGAAGCTGTGGGTGCACAAGAGGAATTCAATTTCAGTTATAAGTTAGATACAGTTATCGTTATAGTTATCAGTTATCGTTATAGTTATCAGTTATCGTTATAGTTATCAGTTATCGTTATAGTTATCAGTTATCGTTATAGTTATCAGTTATAGTTATAGTTATCAGTTATAGTTATCAGTTATAGTTATCAGTTATAGTTATCAGTTATAGTTATTTTCAACAACACAAGTGAAGACTAAGGCGCGACCGACAGAAGTCGGCTTACGCCGCTGCTTATGGTCACGTCACATGCACATGGGTTGCATCGTTTTAGACAAGTGTAGTTTGCAAGGTAATGGAATATATTGTGAGGGATCGATTGATCGATTATTTGACTTATAATAATACCCTATCATACTCTCAACATGGCTTTATCACCGGTAGATCCTGCACCACTAACCTCTTGTCTACTTTGAATAAATGGGCCCACCTGCTGGACGAAATGGAGCCAGTAGATGTAGTAGTGTTGTGTACCATATTTTTGCCAAGTCATTTGACAGTGTCCCACATGAGCGATTGTTACGTAAGATGAAGTCTATGGAAATTGAGAGTAATGTACTCTAACGGATCAGAGATTTTCTAGTTGGGAGACGACAACGTGTCAGTATTAATGGGACCCTATCAGACTGGGCTGCAGTGCGCAGCGGCATGTCACAAGGAAGCGTTCTCGGGCCTGTTATATTCGTGGCGTTTATAAACGATCTGCCAGGAGCTGTGTCTAGCGTGTACTCGATGTATGCTGATCTGATGACACAAAAGTTTATGATACAGTGAAGAATATGTCGCAAAAAGAACAGATGCAAGGTGATCTTGACACGTTAGGTGACTGGGTGATACGTGGCAGCTTCATTTAAATGCTGACAGGTGTAGAGTAATCTACATTGACAAGAACAATGAACAGCAAGATTACAATATGAGAAGACGTGGTTGCAACGACAGAGAGATGATGTCGAAGTCGACAGTGGAAAAAGATTTAGGAGTTTATGCTGACAATGAGTTGAAATTTTCTAAGGATATGGAAGCTCAAGTTAATAATGCTGATAAACGACTTGGACTGATCAGACGCTCTTACAAGTACATAGATGCAGAAGCGATGAAGCAGCTGTTTGTCGCTGCCGTGCGTCCGAACCTAGACTTTGAAAACGCCGTGTGGCTACCAAAACTAGAAAAGGACAAAAAATTAGTTGATAGTGTTCACAGACGTGCAACTAGGATAATTCCGGGATTAAAAGGCAAGCCTTATGAATAAAGATTGAAGATTGTGAAGTTTCCAAGCCTCTGCTATCGACGTCATCGTGGTGACCTCATTGGAGTATACAAGTATACCCACGGTTTATACAAGGTCCCAGAAAGATTACTAGGATTTGAAACAGAAACCTATACCAGGGACCACGGCTATAAACTAAAATAACTGCGCTGCAACTTATCCACGCGACAACATTTCATCTCGCTTCGAGTCACCGACATGTGGAACAACCATCCTGGTGGCATCGTTGACGCTCCGAGTATGAATGTTTTCAAGAACAGACTGCAAAAAGCGATGCAGAGCATATGTTCAGTTTTGAAATACCTATTGCACCTTACGAACCTGGCAATAAGTCCAGCAGCTATCTCAAACAATCGTCAGTTATGGAAAGATAGGCTTCGAAAGGCCGGATCTCTTGTGCAAAGTCACGAAAAGTACAATAATCGGCAACTGGCAATGGGCCTATTACTCCAGTGTCGAGTTTTTTATTCTATTATATAATCCAACAAACCAGAACCAACTGTCGCCTCGTGATCCCATTTCACTTCAGTGAGCAGAAGCAATGGGGGGGAAGTAAAAGCTTTTTTTATATAATTTGCCGATCATTTAGTCGGCAATTCAACTGGTGGGAAGACAGATCTTATACGCACTCGTGAAGACACGTGCAGTTCTCTACACTGTTATTTCTTGACACAAGATACTGTCTGTAAAATCCTACATCATTTACTGTAAGGACTTTTTTCTTAAGAAAGACAGAAAAACCTCTCTGAAAAAACCTCATAGCTTGTGCGTAGTAGGTTGAAACCACACCAATTTTACCAAACGAAATTTTGTGTTTATTTTAATTTTCTTCAGAGCATATGAATTGCTTTACTTTTTGAATTGAAATTAAGAAAATCAGCAAAGAGAAACTCATCAGCCGGACTTACATTTTATCTTCCATTGTTATTCTCGTTGGTTGTGGAAAAGAGACTGACAGGCCTATTGGTCAGCACGCGTTATGGCTGTTTGGTCAATGAATGATATCCGTGACTCAATATACAGTACTTATTTTTGAATAAAAGAAACGCAGTCAAAATTAACCATATAATTACGTGAAGCTAGTATCGGGAGATCAATGAGCGTATCATGTACGACTAGACCGAGGAACTTTCGGTTTATATGAGATTCTGGTAGATATGAAAAATATTGCCATTAACAAATATCCAATTTAATAATAATTAATTATAGGATAATATTATGATGTTTAAAGTCTTGATAATAAATAATTGAAGTTAACGTCCGAAATTCAAATGATACCCTCATTGACACGGCATGGAAAGTTTATTTGGTTTATCAGCATTGAGAAAAAAAAGCCAGACAAATGTTTACATCAACGGAGGGATGATTACAATGTGACATGTGGACGTAGCCTCGCGCGAACACGACAGGCAGGACCCGGCAAGTAAATACTTTGCCGGATAGTTTTTTATAACGGCTTTGACTAATTTAATAACGGGCTATTACCACAATCATAGGGATGAATTGATTGCTGTACATGAATAGCATTGACCATGAAGTCGCTATAAAATGCAACCATTATCTTGAAAATAGTCAATGCACCTTTCCGCCTTTCGTTGGAATGATGTTACATTGCAATACAGAGTTCTAATTGATAAATATTTAATAATAATGTTGTACATCTGGAAAACTTCCCTCATACTCAGTTTTTCCATGATTCTAATTTTATCGTTTTCGCTCAGAAGAAATTTAAAGCACGTTAAGGGGAGCGTCTGGGTCGAAAATCGACAATTGTGGCTTCTCCGGTTTATAGGCTCATCTTAAAGCTGAAATTCTGACCTATCCAGCGGTACCAAAACCATCTCTGTACATTGATTTATGCGTTCACGACAGATCGCGAAAGGGTTAGGGGTGGTGGAGTTCTTTAACATTTAAGATACGGGGAAATTCCACGCAGTGCAGTTAAATAGCCAGTGTGAACAGGCTGTGCTTCAGTAACCCGCCTGCAGTCGTGCGGGACGGTTCTTGTTCAGTCGTTCGCACCATGCTTGACAGAAATTTAGCTCCAGTTTCGTCTAGTCTTTCCTCCTTGCAACCTTGAAAGCCGACTCCAAGGGTCCGGGACTTTGTCGCGCTCTACTGAACATTCACACTTATTGTCACTGCAAACCTATTTCCTCCTACAGTTTTGAAGTTACAACAATGAGACATACACCGTTCGATTCGCAAAAGAAAGATCTACAAAGTGCTCTTTGTCGTTTTTCTTATTTTGTCATAGTGTGGATATTATTCTGCAAAAAAGTTGCGGGGGGTGCGACCCTTGAGCGTTACAGTTTCTGCAAAAGTTGTGCGGGGCAAAATCGAAAAATTTACAAAAAATGCCCCCACACCCACATAAATGAAAAATTGCAAAAACCAGTTGTTTGATATGGTCTTTACGCATCGAATGATATGATATGTGTCTCGATGGTGTAGCTTGAAAATCCTAGGAGGAGATAGATATCTACAGTACCTCCTTTTATGGCCGCTTCTTAAGAATTTCAAGTTTTCTTTCATTTATTTCGAAAAATTGACACGAACTAAAAAGTCTTAGATCTCTGTTTTACATACGTGTACAAAATTTCCAAGTGATACGTCTTTAAATAAACTAGTTACAAAAACACCCAGACGCTCCCCTTAAATCTAATACTGAGCGAAAAATGTAATTCCTGGCGGAATTGAATTTGAAGTAAGTTTCCACTACGAACGGCATACTTGTAATAAAACTTGTCTCGAGGAAGGGCTTAGCTCTACTGGTAAAATGTAGCGAGGATAACTGAAATATAATTTGAATTGAACATTACAATAACGTGTCAAAATCTCAAGTGTTTACTCGACCAGTAGCGTTCGAACAGCACGTACTCGTATGTTACAGTACATCAAATTGCGGGGAAGTGATAGAAGCGATCCCCTACAACATACTCGTCGACCCGCTGACGGTCAACCAATCGCACTAAAAATTCGTGCAGGTTGGGAGTGGTCTGGCCAGTCATAATTACAGACTGAGCCCTTGGCGCTGCTGCTGCTGATATTTTTAGAAGTAGCCGGAAACTTTGTAGGGGCAACTAACAAAAAAGTGGTTATACCTCAAGTTTTCTCAAGACTGCATAGATTGCCTGATGTAAAACACGAACACCGCCATGGTATATAGTGCAGCTCACCAGCTTTTTGAGAGAGATCCATGAGAATTTTTTAGCGTTGTGTCTTTGTGTGGTAGTAATTAATCACGGTACAACTGAAATGTGTAACTTGTCTTGAGGAAATTGAATCAGTATTGAATCTCACGTAACAGTAGGGGAAAAAAATAGAAAAATGTCACGACACGAAAGTGTGCCCATTTCTTTAGGCAAGAATGGGTGATATTTTTATTCATCTTCTTAAATGTGTGGATGCCATGACCTTCTCTCGTAGAGAAATTTTTGGTGGCATATAAAAGGGTGATGCTCGGAAAACTGCACATACGGCATCCAAAGCAAGAGACACTCTTGCACCATTCGCTCTATGCAGGTGACAGGCCGATGAACCTCCGGCATGAAGTGTCCACGCATTAGTAAAAGGAGCGGTCGGTCGCTCCGAGTGTTCAAGGATTTCGAATAGAAAAAGTAACGTTGTTCGCCAATCGCACGGCACTGCTATTACCTTATGCACGTTTTATTATGGAAATGTTATCATATAAACAGTAGTAGTAAACTAGTCTTGCTTGAACTCAAATCTGCAGACTACAAATTCAAGTAATAATGTTATTATGTTTACGCCATGAAAACAATGAAATCTCGGTTATTGATGAAACTATGGTAGTTTTTGCTTTATACATGTTCATATACCACTATACATAGGTATATAGTAGCATACAATGCGATAGTTAGTATACGGAAGATTTTTAAAATACTTAGACGCATTAGTTGAATGTAGAATCGATCGCATGTCTGAATTGAGATGCAATGTTGAGGAGCGTTGAGAATGCAGATATGGCAGACCGCAGGTAGATATGTACGAAGATAGAGATTTAGAGGACCAAATAAAAATCTAAGATTTCAAAAATTAAATAGAATTCTCGGACTAAATCCCTCTGAAGTCTACACAATTAAAATCGAACACGCCTCCCCAAAAACTTCGATGTACATTGGGCAGGTCTTCATTGCCTTGTCAATGTTGGCTACAGATGAGCGTGGTATCGGCAGGAATCTATTCAAAGGCGGCCATGTCAAAGACTTGCCAGCGAAGTTCGCCTGAGGTGCCAAACTTGTACTCCTGACATGCCTGAGTCAGCATCCTGTAATTTTTGCACCAAACAATTCTTTTTATGAAATTTTATTTATACTTAATGTAAAAGAATTAATATATTTATAAATACTTGTAATTATAAGTAATTATACACAAAATAATTATTTTTTTAAAGAATATGTTACTTACCCTGCCCACTTGGTGCATGCGTGCGTGGGAGGCGCGAGTCGGTAGCACTGGAATAAGCCTGTGGAGAAAAATGCGATTCCAACTTCCTTCGCTGCGCCGCTGCCCTCAGCCTTCAGGCACGCCCGGAAAGCTTCGTTGCAGTCACAGTGACTCCTGAAATGCAATACTTATTGCGATAGAGTTGTTAGAAACAATGCAATATAACCATAATGATTAAGTAGAGTCAAAACAAATAATATTGCGCCAAAATTGTTAGAAACAGAGCCGACAATATGGCGCTAAAGAATTGTCAGAACCAAAGCAGACAATATGACGCTAAAGAATTGTTATAACCAAAGCAGACAATATGGTGCTAAAGAATTGTTAGAACCAAAGCAGACAATATGGCGCTAAAGAATTGTTAGAACCAAAGCAGACAATATGGCGCTAAAGAATTGTTAGAAACAGAGAAGGCAATATGGCGCTAATGAATTGTCACAAAGAAGTCAGTACGGAGCAAAAGAGTTAATAGAAACAATACAATATAGCGCTAAGAAGTTATTAAAAACTCACCAATATAACGCTAAATATTTATTAGAAAGAAAAGAATATAGCACTACAGAGTTACTAGAAATAAAATAATGTGACGCTAAAACCTTGTTAGAAACATCCCAAAATAGCGTTAAAACAATTAAGGAATAAAACAATCGCGATCGTAGAATCGCTTGTGGCTCTTGTTTTATAGTTAAGAAAGCTCACCCGACTAGAGTATATGCGGGAAGTTTTTGGCTGGGCTCCTGCGTGCGTGCCTCTTTGTATTATAGTTAAGAAAGCTCACCAATCATGGCAATCTTTGGCGAGTTTGGACAATCATGGCGATCTTTGGTGAGAGACAATCATGGCAATCTTTGGTGACAGATAATCATGGCAATCTTTGGTGAGAGACAATCATGACAATCTTTGGTGAGAGACAATCATGGCAATCTATGGTGAGAGAGAATTTTATAACCAAAGATTGCCTCTCAAAATTTTCAAATATACGACTCAAGTTTTTCTCACCTGTCACCAAAAAGTAGACAGTCGCCACTGTGAAGGTCGAAGTGCACTAAGCGGTGCGCGGCCTCGTCTGTATAGTAGCTTCCTGGCTTGGGCAGCGCCTGCGCCCAGCGAGCGGCGAGAGCCAGCACAGTCAACTTCCGTAGCACTGATACCCAACCAAAAACTCCATGTCTGCTCTGGTAATTGAATAGAAATAAGCACTTGTTAGTTCGGACGTTTAATTCAGTAACTACTTTGAAATTCAGACACTGCTTAGTAATTCAGTAACTACTTAGTAAATCAGTGACTGCTTAGTAACTCAGTGACTGCTTAGTAATTCAGTAACTACTTAGATCTCTCGACTGCTTTTAGGTCTGCTGAAACGATAGAGCTGAACTGAGAATAGTTTTTTCTTATAAAGAAATGGTGAATTTTTTAGCTATTTTGTTTGCTTTTAACTTTCTAGTAACGATTTCTATTCCTGCATTTGTATGATTTAAATGTGTCATTGGATCATCTAAACTTTAGATGATCAAACTTTTTTGCCTACAAAGGCACTATAGCTTTATTCTAAAGCTTAAGTGCCTTTATAGACAGAAATTTCAATGATGTGCAATGTGCATACCTAGAATTAAAAAAAAAAGAACACTGAACAAAGCAGCCCTTATCACAGCAACCTTGAGTCTCTATAATTTAAATAAGTGAAATGGAGAAGTAGAAGGGTCATATTTTAAAGGCAGTTTACTTGGAATGAAACAAACTCCGTTCGTTGGGATTAACTACTCATAAAACGTACAAAAAATTATTATATGACTATAATATAACTAAAAGAAGGCAGATTGCAGCGATTATTTGTATCCACTTACAACTTCTGTAAGATGCACGGTTTTCTCTACACCAGCATGAAGGTATTGCTGCACATTGTTCTAACATTGTGCTGCTAGTCGACAAAAATCTGGAAGCATTGAACCAGGTATTAGAGTTAGACAATAAAATAACGTTGATTAAGGGGAGTTTCTACCTTAAAAATTATCTTAGCTATTTACAAACGGATTACTCTGAATCTTGATACACTTATTTAAATTAAAAAAAACTCGCATTATGTTGAAGTGAATTTTTCGAAAAAAATTATAGGAAACGTGAAATTCTAAGAAAACGGCCAGAAAATGGGTACCTACTTTAGAAATCTATTTCCTCCTAGGATTTTTAAGCTACAACATCGGGACACATCATTCGATGCGTAAAGTCTTTATCTATAAAATTGTGCAAGCGTTCTTTGAAATTCCAATTTTTGTGGAAGTTGGGGCACTTTTCAAAAGTTTTCGGAAAGTTTTTCAAAAGTATCGATTTTCGAAATGAGGGGTGGAAAGGGTTCCACCCCCCATTTTCTCAGAATAAAACCCAAACTATACCTTACCAGACCAGTGGGCAAGGAAAAAAGAGTGCATGTTTACCTTGAAGAAAAGATTTATTGCCTGCAGGAGAGCATGACAACCAAAGGTCTGATCATGCTTTAATCTACGGAAGTTTCACCTAACTTTCGGCTTCAAGTGCTTATATCTAATACTAGAATAATAATTCGGAAATGTTTGGGGTAGCGATAAATGAAGAAAAATATTTGAACTGACGTATATCGAGAAAATGCTGGAAAAGTCACACACTTTACGAATACCGGGGAGCAAAATTTCATCCTCCCTGATAACAGTTGAAATAAAAAGTTTACATAATTTTATCTTAATGTCTTCGTATTTAAATAATAGACCAAGATAGCATTCCAAATTTCAGACTTGGATCTTATTTATGAGGGGAGTTATTAAACCTAGTAATAGTTAAGAAACTCCGTAAGCGACCAACGCAGCTGAGCGCGTTGATGCAGGGCCTTAACGCTGACAAATGTAAAGTAATCCACCTTGGCAAGAACAATGAACAGCATGAGCAAGATTACAGTATGAGAAGATACGGTTGCAACGACAGAGTGACGATGTCGAAGTCGACAATTTAATAAAGCCAATAAACGACTTGGACTGATCATATGCTCTTTCGAGTTCCTAGATGCAGAAGCGATGAAGCTGTTGTTTGTTGCTGTCGTGTGCCCGAACCTACAGTTTGGAAACGCCGTGTGGTCACTGAAACTTGAAAGGGACACAAATTTGATAGAGAGTGTTCAAATACGTGCAACAAGGATATTTCCGGGCTTGAAAGGCGAGTCCCATGAGGAAAGATTAAAGATTATGAAGCTTCCAAGCCTCAGTTATCGACGTCTGCGTGGGGACCTCATTGAAGTACACAAATATACTCATGGCTTATACCATGTCCCAGAAGGATTACTAGAATTTGAAACAAGAACCAACACCAGGGGCCACGGCTATAAACTAAAAAAACAGCGTTGGAACACATCCATGCGACAAAATTTCTTCTCGCTCCGAGTCACCGACATGTGGAACAGCCTCCCTGATAGCATCGTTGAAGCTCCGAGTATGGACATCTTCAAAAACAGACTAGATAAAGCTATGCAGGAGCATATGTTCAGTCTTAAAATGCCTAGCAGCTTACGGACCAGGCAATAAGTCCAGAAGCTATCTCAATCGATCGTCAGTTATGGAAAGATCGGGTTCCAAAGGCCGGATCCCTTGTGAATCAAGTCACGAAAAATACAAGAATCGGTAACAGGCCATGGGCCTATTTCTTCAACGCCGACACTTTTTTCTATTCTATTCTATTCCTCTGTGAAGGTGAATTCTATTAGAAAATTGTCCGCTTCAATTTATTTGTTTGTTAATAGGGTTATTTGTCGATCTCGTCTAATTGCAGAGAATGAGGTTAATCATCGATTCGATCTAATAGCTTTTTATTGGTTAATTTTTACTCTGTGCGTGTTTTAAATAGGATGTTAGTGTTAGACTCTTTTAAAATTAGTAGTAAATTAGTAGGTTAGGATTATGAATATTTAAATAAAAAAAATATCACCAATATTTTCTGTTAGACACGGGCTTGTCTTATACATATTATTAATAGGATTTGTTGGATCATGTGTGATTACTCGGATTTTTTTCATCACGTATCCACATTTCAATCGCTCGTGGATTTTAACCGAAGAGTTGGCATATCAACACAAACCTAAAGACGAGATTTTGACGGATGTAAGTCCAACGTGAGGGTGTTAGATGCGTCTTGGACAATTCCAATGTCCAAGTACAACGAGTTCCCGATATATTACTAATTTGGGTTTTACTGGCATGAACAATAATGCCAGTAGAAACCAATGCCAGTTGTAATTGTGATAATTTAATGATAAAATTTAGAGATTATCTGTAAAATATTTCTTTTAAATTTATAGATCTTCTACGTTTATCTGTCTCTAGGCAGATTATCTGAGGTCTGGCGATTGTTCAAGATTGCTACTCGCTTTCCAAATAGCCTCCAAGACTTTCCGCCTGCACTTGGGATTAAAAATTCCGTTAATGCGAAACCCTTTCAAACGAAATTGTTTTCGCCAGGTGGAAGGAGGGGAAGATGTAAACGAATCCTTAACTTCCTCTAAAAGTTGGGTTCATGACCAGAGTCAGTTCCACCAAATGCTAGTAACTTTCGAGCCTAGCATTGATTTCTTCGCAGTTTTGAGCCGATTATGTAGTTCTTACGGTTAAATGACTTGATAATTACGCAGACGAAACAAAGTTCTCAATGTTTCATAACTTTGAAAAATTAGGCTCTTAACCGCACCGATGGCATCATGTCCGGTTGAAAACAATAAGTTACCACTTTCTCTTCAGATTGATTCAATTAAGTTTGGACTGAAATCGGGCGACTGTAGAATAAATAGTCCTCAATGTCCATAGACACGAACACCGAGCTTCTTGTTGGCTGCCATTGAATTACCAAGAAATCAGAGAATTAATAATATAAAATAATTGCTAAATAAACCCGAGTCATGTCTGCATTATTCTTTCTTCCTCAATTTCTATTTAAACATAAGATTATCACGCCATTTAATGTTGAACATGAAGGCTGGTCAACAATATCAGAAACAGGTTAGCGTTTTGTAACAATATGTTGAATGTAGTAAAAAGTTGAATATAATCGAAGGGTTTCGGAATTTTATGCTGCCGCAGCCTAGAGTCGCGTGTCTGTCTGAGATTTTTTTCTGCTGGTCTTTGAGGTGCATGTTTTTGTGAAGATTCTTGCCTCGCTGATGGCAAGGTTAAATAAAATTGCATATATAGTTATCTTTATGTCTCGACAGCGCACATTTCGATGTTATTTGTTGATATATTTTTTTCTATTCAGAATTTTCATAATTTTTGAATCATAAAACCGAAATGTCAGAATTTTACCAGAAGGGATTACTCGGGATAAAAAAACTTTTTTTATGAAGAAGTTCATGTAATTTTTTATTGAAGTCTTGTTCAAATCCTTCCAAATCCCCAATTCTCGAGGAGTTGGAAGCTGTGCAGTGAGCGCAAAAACTCCAGAAGCTGCTTTAGATTTAGACAAGTAGGAACCTTTAGGGAGCGGACGGAGATATTTGTTAAATTGTGCGAATTCTATTTTCTTCTTGAGTATGGGGAAAAACATTGAATTATGTGCCTAGAAAATAGATTGGTGATATATGAGGTAAGAATTTATTCATGAACATTAATATAACACTAGTAAATTTAAAAAGACTGTCACGAATTTGTATCGAAGTAATTTTGATTTTAGTCTGAAACGTTGGTAGTCCGTTCTAGTTATTTTACGGTAATTCCGTACAACGAAATGTACATGGTTTTGAGGCAGCGAGTTTTTTAAAATTGTTGCATTAAAAAATTAGTCATGAACTTACAAGGTAACAAAGGTTTTAAAAATATATTTACCGTGTTCCTCCTCGTTAGTTTCTTAAGCCATTCAAAATTTATTTGTCATAAACCTGCTATTTAGAATCTTTTTAAAAATTGATTTATTTGGTAACCCAACGGGGCAAAAATCGAATTTCAATCCCACTGCACTGACGATGCCAAATGAAAGGAAATTGCCACCTCAAACTAAAATGTAAAAGAAAGTGCAATCCCATATGCAGACTAAAATTCGCCGCCAGCAGAAAATAACGTTAACTCTTTAGTTACGCTAAGAAAATTTACGTTTCCAAATAACGCAGTTGCGCAAGTATACCTCTTGTAGGGCAATATATCTAGGAAGGAGATTGATACTAACAGTGAGCTCGGTGCAAGTTTTTTAGCAGGACCTTCATGTCTGATTGAAACGAGTCACTCGGTAGTCTTAATGTACCAGCATCCCTCTATCTCTGAATTGTCGTTTTGGATTGAGTGAATGATAATTTTTCCCCTCGGTAAAGAAATGTGTAGAATTACCCTACATGAGGTTCCTGAGAAGCATAATACGCCTATTCTACTAGCGAAGGCCTCTTTGTGAGTGAGCTAGGGTGTTTGCAGGATGGAAAAATTCATATAACTGAAAATTCGAACCAGATTCGAATTTAAAGATAGTTTGCAGAGTTTTCACGGAGCAAGCAGTTAGGGTAATTTTAAGTTAAAATGAGTCATTCCAGGAAAATTTATGGCATGCGTACTTTGCTTCACGAGAGCTTCTTACCCATGGTAAAATTTCTAGCGGGCTTACGGGTGCTACGCAACTAATGTGTTGCAATGCCATGAAGATTTTCATTGATACTTGAAATAAATTCAAAGTTGGTTACTTGTTGATGAAAAACTTGAATACGAGTGATAAAGCCCGCAATTAATTAAACTCTTCGACAGATTTAAAACGTCTTGAATACCAGTCATTGGTCAGATGAAGGACATCGAGCTTCCTTATGCCCGATGTTTCCACAAAAAAGCCAAAAGAGTTTAAAGTACCCTTGACCTACGAATAAAAAAATGCCATTAAACTGGCATGCCCTATATACCATCTAACTGAGACAAAAATTAGCGCCTGGAAGTATAATCTGCAGAAACGTTACAGTCGCACTGCCGTGTAGCTGCGATATAATTATAATTTAACTCAAATGCACCACTAGTGTACTTTCCGGACGCTTGACAACTTTGAAGTGTTAACCATCGAGGCAACATTTAAGCACACAAAATTACTGCTGCATTTATCACGGTCTAATCACTTTGAATAAAACCTTTTTATTTTCTCTGTAATATCTCTGCAAATATGATGGTGTATAGTAACGACGAATGCATCTGAAAGGTGTGCAAATCCGAGTTATGTGCGTGCTGAGTACGACATGGACTCTTCATAATATATTTCTGAAAACGTCTAAAAAACATTTTCTTTTGCTGACACAAAAAGAGTGGATTTTCCCTTATTAAAATAACCCGACTTCAGGCCTTCCTCCGTTTTGTGCGCGATGAGGTAACGAGTGTTCTTAAAACATCTTATTCTTGTATACATAAAGTAAATCTTCAACTGCGCATCTACTTGGTGATGAATTTTAACTTGTATGTTATTTGCTATTCTTTTGCATGTTAAACTTTACAAGTTTCTTTTAACAATTGCAAACGGAATTTACTTTTCCAGAAAATGTTTTCCTAGTGTCCGTGCTGCGCCACTCCTAATACGTTCAAGTAAATAAAGTATTACAAGTGATTCAAGTAAATGAAATTTTAGTTTCATTTCATTCAACGGTTACACTTTCAAATTAAGTAATAATAAGATAGTACTGGCATGTAAGAAGATTGATGATCGAATTATATTCGGTCAATGAATGATCCCAGTTCAATTAAAACATAATGTGAAAACATTCATGCCTGTAAATTATTCAACTATTCAAAGCATATATTTTCCATACATATGGGCAGAACAAGGACTTATCAGAAATTTAGCGAAGAGATTACATGCGCTTAAATACTGATTAAGAAAAAATTATTTAGAGGAGAAGCAAGGGAAATACATAGTGTCTTTTATCCTTTCGTAATTCTCAGAATAAAGTTTGGATGAGGGAGCAACTTTCCTGAGGCAAGGGAATTCAGTTGCCCTCAAGCAGTTACGCTAAGTACCTGTTTCTATTACATTAATAATGAAACAAAAATCGACGAGTCTTAGTTATTATCTTGATGGGATGTGTTACGTGTAGCTCCCAGTGTCTCACCTTGAAGCAGACGAGATGACGAACAAGGAATATTTTATAGTTGTTCTTTACACGCAGTTGCCCTCCGGAGCTTCTGGCATCCGCACGCTCTCTCTGATGAGGCTAACAAAACACTGAGCATATCCTTCCCTCGGAATCTGAGTTTCTCAGTCCCATGAAGAGAATTCTTCAGAGGTCACTATACTGCAGTATTCTCCTGGGAACTCGTTACACTGCAGAATTTTCCCGGGGAAGCTCGTTGCATTGCTGGATTCCTTTCGTTATACAATGAATTTTGGCACTTTTTCTCGAATATATGTACTACAAACCTGCATCGGGAACTTTTTGTACTTAAAGCATCAACGTATCAGTTTTCCAGTTTGCCGATTAAATACGTGGAACAAAAGTTTGCGGACATCCTCATATTTATTGTCCTGACGATGATTGATAAATAATTCACCCCATAATTAGACTGTTCTTGCGCAAGATATGATAAGACGAGAGAAGTCATTTATAATTAGCTCTATATTGTTGTAAGTTAATAAAAAAAGCTGATTTCTGCATACAGTGCTAGATAAAATACTCTATTAAACAAAAAGCCTAAGGTTGAATAGAATCACTGGAGAACGACAGATTGGCCACGATTTTCAAGTGTCTAAACGCACTAGCTACTATGCCTGTGTGGGTGAAAAAAATATCACTGATAATGGCCCTTAAGCCTGCATGGCATTGCAGCGATACCTGAATTACTAGTTTAAATCGTCTCCTGTCGTCCGATTTGATAGAAGAAAAAATATTTTTGTGCTACTCAAAACACGCAATGCCTCTTTTTTCTTTATATTTTTTCTACTTCGACTAATGGTATTCCCTGCACGAACAGGACGAATGAATCTAAATGTCCTCCGAGTATTCTTCGATGTATGACTGAAAAGACAGAGGATTTAGGAATGAGTTAACACACAAGAACATAATAAAATTTCAATTTTATAAAAGAAAACATTCTCGTTATGAATGGTCTTTTCTAATTGCCCCGGTTATTGGGTATTTTTTGTAACTCAAGTGATTATATTTGTGTGAATCATAATTTATTTAATATACATATTGAAAAATTGAACGAATCCAGATGACGTGAACAATTGATGACGTAGATCGATAAACCCTCTACGTGCAGATTTAATTTTATGGTGCCTATATATATATAGTAGGTATTATCCACACTAATCTTTTTCTGCGGCCACCAGGCTGCTACTAATTTTGAATGAATTTAGATCGACCAATTAGCAGTCAGAATTTAAATCGGGATGGACCCAATAAAAGAAGTGGTGATCAAGAGGCAGCAAAAAAATTATCATGAAACTCATTGAGGTTCTTGACTCATCGATAAATGGAAGAACACAACAGCATCACGAAAAATGCTTGGACTTGCACTTCCCTCCATATGTTCTGACGGTACAAAATGTTTATAAATGTGGACTTTTGGCAAGTATTTTTGGCTTTAAAACATGCAGTCAAAGCTTTAACAAGCATCTATTCGTTAAGTTACTACACATGAAAAGCGTCCAGCTTGCGAATTACTTACAAGTTCATTTAGATCACATCTTTCCCGCCATATAGGACAAAGCTGAAAGGTGCTGAAATTTTCTAAGCATGTTGAAACGAAAGCTAATACATCCAACAAACTTCTCGGTCTAATCAGACGCTCTAACGACTTCCTAGATGCAGAGGCGATGAAGCAGTTGTTTGTAGCTGTCGTGCGCCCTAATCTAGAGTTTGGAAACGTTGTGTGGACACCGAGATTTGAAAAGGACAAAAATTTAATAGAGAATGTTCAAAGAAATGCAACAAGGATAATTTCAGGCTTGAAGGGCAGGTCATATGAAGAAAGGCTAAAGATTATGAAGCTTCCAAGCTTCAGTTATCGACGTCTGCGTGGGGAACTCATTGAAGTATACAAGTATACTAATGGAATGGTTTATACAAGGTTCCCGAAGAATGACTGTAAGTTTAAACAAGAACCTAAACCAGGGGCAACGGCTATAAACTAAAAAAAACTGCGCTGAAACTTGTCCACGCGACAACATTTCTTCTCGCTTCGAATCACCGACATGTGGAACAGCCTCCCTGATTGCATCGTTGGCGCTCCGAGTATGAACGCGTTCAAGAACAGACTAGATAAAGCTGTGAAAAAATATATGTTCAACCTTGAAATGCCTAGCATCATATCGAACCCGGTAGACAGTCTAGTAGCTAATTCAAACTATCGTCAGTCTTGAGTTATCCGGTCAAATGACACGATTTTAGATCTTCTGTGAACAAGTCACAAAAAGTTTAAGAATCGGCGACAGGCCACACCAGGCTTACTCCTTAGTGCCGACATCACTATGTTGGCCCAGTGGTTAAAGTTCAGAGTACCAGGATTGGCGCAGAGAGGTGCGGGTTCGATCCCAGCTCTGTGCGCCAGTTTCTGGTCAGAATCGGCAAGGAGGCCGGGCGGTTAAGCACAGCAGAATTGTAGCAGTGATTTGCGAGTTCGAGACCGCAAAATACTGTGAATGTTCTGCGATGTTAAGAATCGGCGACAGGCCTGCGGACTAATAAACGCTGAAACCGCTATTATTATTATTATTATTATTATTATTATTATTATTATTATAATTATTATTATTATCATTATTATTATTATTATTATTATTATGTATTATTATTATGTTATTTCTGTCTCTTATACACATCTAGATGTGTATAAGAGACAGATCCTATTCCGTNCACACACACACACACACACACACACACACACACACACACACACACACACACACACACACACACACACACACACACACACACACACACACACACACACACACACACACACACACACACACACACACACACACACACACACACACACACACACACACACACACACACACACACACACACACACACACACACACACACACACACACACACACACACACACACACACACACACACACACACACACACACACACACACACACACACACACACACACACACACACACACACACACACACACACACACACACACACACACACACACACACACACACACACACACACACACACACACACACACACACACACACACACACACACACACACACACACACACACACACACACACACACAAACACACACACACACGCGCACAAGTTGTTGAATCATATACAAAATTCAACAAATTGCTTTTAGTAGATCGAAATATTGTCAACTTCATCAAGTTCTGAATATTTACTTCGTGATATTTTTGCTTCAAGGTGAACCTCATTACAAAAAGTTTCTTCAGAACGGATGCTGACGAGCAAGAACGAACTTGTTTGCAGTTTGTGATTTCAATAATTGTCAGCTCGCAGTTTAACTTTTATTCAATTCAGACCCGAACTAGAAGAAATTAAATCGTTTGGAAAAGGATATAGAATTTTTAATGCGTAAAAAAACCCCAAACCGATGAATTTCAAGGGCAAAATTTAGAAATAATTCTCATAATGTTTACAGAGCCTATAATATTATAATGTCTGTTATTGGGTTTGCAATAAATGCATATTTACTACAATGATTCGCTACATTAATGTCTGCCTACATTTCATCCAAAATGCGATGTACGACAGGGGAATGATATTCAAGATGAAGCCGAAAACGTTAATTTTTTTGTCGCAGTTGTCGATTGGCCGATGGGAGCTAAAAATTGGCCAAGTCAAAAACCTGCCACTGCAGTTCTTCAGACGAGTTAAACTTGTACTCTTGACAAGTTCTTCGAAAAAACCTGAAATGTGAGGTACATTTTAGAAGGTTATTATTTTTAAACATACGGAACGGAAGAAACTGTAATGCCTCATTATTAGCAATTTGGAGGTTATTAAAAGATTTCTAGCAGCACTATGTCGAATAAAAGATATTTTGTCGTTTCTTAACGATGCCTTCATTTGAGGAGATTGTGCAATTGATGGTATTATTAGAACCTGTTCAAATAGTTGAAAAGTAAAAAGTTTAAAAAGACAAATAATATATAGGCTATATGTATAGTACGGCATCGAATTCAGTTTAACTATTAATACTCCGCTAACCCTAATCATCTTGTAAAGATAAACATGTCTCTTCTGCAAAATCTTTTAAATTAAAAAAATCATTAGCAAATCTAATAGGTCACACTCATCAACTGAGATTTTTTTACACTTAGACCATTATGAGTTACTTTTAAATGTACTTTAGATTTTTCATTCAGATATTTGGTGCAAACATTCCGACTGAAATCGAACTGCGTAATGTGTGACAGTGACGCACATTGCCATTATGTAACATATATGCACACATGTAAAGACGTTATCTCTCTAACATCTGAGACGGAGAAAAGATTACTGTGTGCAGTCTCTGCGCAACGTCTTTTCAGTAACGCAATAGGAGAAATTACAAAGAAACTATAAAAAGTTAGAATTTTCAAACTTATTCTTTTGGAAATGTTTTAGAAGTAAATTGTACAAGAAGTAAGTTTTAGAAGTAAGTTGTAAGTTGGCTGTGCCTAACAGAAAAATATTTAAATTAAAAACTATTAATGCGAAAATAATCGTAACTTTTTTAAAATCATTTACTGCAAACAGGGACACAATTCCCTACACCATATTTGAAGCGTGCTAAATTTGCTACATCATCCTAGATAATTTAAGTTAAATTTTATGAAAATTATGTAGATAATTGCCTCTCGAAAATTATGTTTCGTTGTTAAATAAATTTAGCTTAAAATTGCTTACATTAAGAATTTAATTGGTTTTCCTAAATATAATCACCCGGACCACGTGACACAGGCCACAACTGGAGGAGCGAGCCTGAAGCACTTAATGAAACCTGTTGAGAAATAGGCGAGGCCAACTGCTTCTGCTGCCTCGCCGCCTGTTAATATAATATAATATAATATAATATAATATAACATAATATAATATAATATAATATAATATAATATATTGTTATACAAAATTTATTGTCCAAGAAGTTCCTATGAAATCGGTTAGAAAATTTGCTGGTTGCGAGCACCCGGCATTCGTCCTCAATTTTGTTTGTAACGTTGTAAGGCATTAAAAAATCCGTGAACATTTCTCCCCGACAAATATTAAATAGAAGAACTTGATCATGCGATGGGATATTCCAAACAACACGATTCTATGCATCTCCCAAAGTAAAAATATGATCTATTATATAATAAACGTAGCATTTCTATAATATTAACTAGAGGACGCTAATAAATCTTACGATATAAACATTCCATCTTAATATCAATAAGATCTTTTACACTTTTAAACTCATTCGGAATTGAGTAATTTGTAAAGTCATGAATCTGTCCGAGATTGTGTGCTATGCCTCTCCAATATTTCAGTTGGTGTGCAAATCAAAAACAATTTTTAAACGTTTCAAGATCTTCAATCATAATAATGTTTAACAGCAAGTTAAGCAGTTCCATCGAATGACTGATCTCAAATAAAAGTGATAAAAAATGAACGAAAGTAAATGAAATACATTAGGCAAAGTGCTTTTAGTTTGCTTTCATTTTAAATTCATAAACAACTCATAAATAAATATACCCATGAATAATTTACTGAGCCAGCAAAAGTATTCTCTTTCAGCTAACAAAGAAGTGAAGATTTAAGTAATCTTACATTCTAGTATGAATAAAGCATCGCATGGCCCGGAATTTCCCAAATTGAACTGGTTGCGAACTTTTTCCCGAGAGCGGAATGATCTTTTGCAAAAAATGACCTCGATGTGCCAAGGACATGTGAGCTAGAATTAAATATTGGTCGTTCGAGGTATGACTTATGGCATTCCTGTGCTTCCTCAGCAGAAGTTGAAATTTGTATCGACAATTTTCTGAGAACTCTTTCCAAAGAATGATATTTTGAGAGCATTAATATTTATAAATATCTAAAATGCTCTAAAAATGCTCTAAAACTTTATTATTATTTTTAGAGCATTAATATTTGTCCTCAGATCCTGGATTGAGTTCAAATATCTGCCTGGAAAGTTTGGAAGTTGACTTAAACGGGCATAGTTCGAGGTCTATTTCGGTCTATTGCCTTCCGACCAGTTATTTTATGAGTTCAAGCCTGGCAGTGAATAAACGAAACGCTTCGATTAACATGATGCTATTGCCGTCAGAAAAAAGGAAAAGGGGAGAGAAGTTTGCATTTTATCCAATTAATGCCCAGATACTGCTTTTAAATAATTGACTGGCAGAACATCACGATACAATGGAAGGCATTTTTATATACACAAGTTAAATCGAAATCGGTCTCATTCATAGACATATACTTGTATTCATGAATAATGGTGCTTATTTTTAAATTTAGGTATAAAACAGAATGGTTGTGACAAATCAATTAAAATGAAACTCATGAAACTGTAATCTAAATAGTATGGAGATTATTAGAAAATTGTCCTTAATACAAATATCGAAACTGAAATCAGCGTTTATTTCAAAGATATCTCAACAAAAATAGCATCATTGGAAGTAAAAATAAACAGAAGATACATTGTAAAGCCGGAGTCATTAGTGATGTTATGCTTGGTCTCTTGAGGCTTGATGTTGTCCGGGCACTGGTCGTGTTCACGGCAGCAGGCGTCCACCTCCCTCAGCTCACCCAGGTCATCAAAACTGTCAGCCTCATCGCCTGGACCACACCACTTGGTACCTGCTCGTAAAAAATGTTGTGTCAACCCTTCTGTAGCATAGCAACACACCACTTGGTACCTGCACGTAAAAAATGTTGTGTCATCCCTTCTGTAGCATAGCAACACACCACTTGGTACCTGCTCGTAAAAAATGTTGTGTCAACCCTTCTGTAGCATAGCAACACACCACTTGGTACCTGCTCGTAAAAAATGTTCTGTCAACCTTTCTGTAGCATAGCAATGTTCCCGTACCTTAGTTATCAGCTACGAAGCTCGTTTCAAGAGTTATGCATACGTATCCATCGTTTTGTTCATTGTTCGTTATTATGTTTACAATAAAGCCTATACGATACTGCCGTGTTGCTATCAACCTTCAAGCAGGAAACTTCATACGTTACACCTTCCTGCATCTACTGATGATGCAATAAAAATTACGAAAATCACCTCCTTTCCAAAAATTAGTAACCTATTCAACTTTTATTCCTACCTAATAACATTTCTAAATTATGAACGGTGCGAGCTTCGTTATGGCATCCAGCTTGATTTTATAATCTTAATGAACTTATTTGTTGATTTACGGAAATGTTTTTGATGTTCTAATGTAGCTGCCGTGTTAATAAGTTCAGTGACAAAATTCGCCTTCGTCCCTTTGCGCTGCCCTATTCAGGCGGTAGTAGCTCCATTGCTGGTATTTGTCATTGCAGGTGCTGAACTGTTCATAGTCATCAGGTTTCAATCTTCCAGTCTGCCGTTTTGAAAACACTTGCTCTGATTTTAAAAGGTGAGTTATGGAATTGTTATATGCAGGTGCCATTTCGATTTTACATTATTTGTTCATTTACAAGCATTTTAAATGACTGTTTATTGAGGGCTGTGAACGGATCGCCAAGATGTTGCAGTGGCAGCAGCACCGAGATGAGCGGGCAAACTCAGTTCATTTTTCGGTGTCGCAAGTGGGCGTCGCTTGGTAGCCGTCGAGGGTGGTGCTTCCAGCATGGCCTAGGGTTAATGTTCCTAATCTAACTCTGAGTACTTAAAACCTGGGGTCATAAGGTGAGCTTAGTACTTTGGCATGCTTGGTTAATTTTACGTATTTAAAGAAGCGCTATATTTGCTAGTAGGAGATATCCATTCTCGTCCCTCCATGTTTGAGCCTCTGTACCTTCAAGCAACTATCAGATGCCGCAGTGAGCAGCACTTAGCCCAAGAGATATCATAGCGATCCCTTCTTCTTCTAAACTTCATGCACGCGATGGGGCAGTGTACCAGTTTTTGAAGGTAGAAGGGACACAAAAAACTTGTCGGTCAACACTGCGCATTGGACCAGGTCACGCTTTACAGTGATGCCCATGTAACAAGTCAGAAAAACTCGTCGCATTTTAAATGCACGTATGTGGCCTTCGTCAACTGCAGCCTTTGTTAGCTCGACCTTCCTTGCCACAGCCTCATATGATTTTGCTCTGATAATTTTTGAAATTTATTCCAAGAACATCGAATAAAAAAATCTAATTTTATGCAATGTTTATCGTCATTAATACTCGATGCTTTTGTCGTGTAATTTATTTAATGAAGTGTGCATGTTTGTGAAGAGTCATACATTTAAACCAAGAAGATACAAGTGCAACCTTGAGATTTTATTAGTTTTTTATATGTAAATCTTTCTAAATCTGAAATATATATATTTATTGCAGCTGACTATTGTAGCATATGCATTACGGAACGTTTGTATAAATCTAAGATATATTGAAACCACAAACAATCCATGCTGATTCAAGAGCTTAATTTCAATTCTAATGTCAGTGAAAAAATTACCGAAAAAAAATTTTATTATTCATATATGAAAGTCAGCTCGCTGTGCCACGAAAATCAGACGAGGTGCATGAAAAATAATCCAGTTTTTGCTCAAATTGAAATTATTTTGGCTGCTTAAGTCCTCAATTTATAAGGAAAATATTATAGAACTTGTGTCTGCATATGTTGAAATCGGGCAATGCAAAGCAATTAAGTGTCTACGATATAATGTTTAACATAGTTTAAGATTTATAATGAATCTATAATATAGTGTTTGAAAATATAGTTGCTTTAATCGGTAATTACATTTTTAGTTGTAAAATAGTGATGCAATCCAAACTGGGATAGGACTAGAAAAAGTAACATTGTTTTGATTGAATATTTGCTAGAAAATCAATGATAGAAAATTTCTTATTTTCAGAACGAAGATTAAACGGTGAATTTTTCTTTAATAAGGATCAAAGCGATACATTTAAAATTGAAATTACTTTACTCATTTAAATATCAAAGCAGAAAAAGCGCAAGGTCAATCATCTTATTCTGATTGAAAAGTTTCGGAGCTTTCATTTTATTTACCTGGCTTTTAATTTTCCGTTAATTCGCCATTTAATCAAAATCTAATTAAAGTAAATTAACAATAGTTTAAGAAGCATGATATATGGAAACACAATTTAATGAAGAGATTATCAATACCTGGCAAGACCAAGAACACAGGCTCTTGTAACATGCAGTCAGCGAATCGAGTGTGACTGTGCCCACACAGCGATTTACTTAATTCGTATCGGTGCTACGTTCGCTTTGAGCTTGTGCTGTTGAAAAAATGCGCGGCTATTTGGACAATAAGACCAGTTTTTCTAAGCGCAATTGAACTGACCTGGAAACATTAGACGGGGTCGATTGGGCCGCTGCAACCCCAGTGCCCTCGCATCCCTTCTCTTGCAAGCAGCGATGACGAAGGAGAGTTGCTCAGACTGCAGCACGTAGGGAGGCGTTGCGGCTCGAGATAATTCTTTCAGGGTCACCTCCACCAAATGCCTGACGAAAAAACATATACCCTCTTATTAAGTACGATTTAGTGACTACTGGAGCTGTAGGTACAGGTCTGGTACTTCATTATGGTTGTAAGTCAGTGTATAATATTGGTATGATTGAGTAGAAGTTGTTCTTCAATGAAAATTTGGGCAATGGCCTACACCAGCTGAGGAATATCGCTTGACTATTTGAAAAAAAAACGAGAAAATCCTAAACAAAAAGCATTGATATAACATATAACAGGCAGTGGCAATGCACGCTGTACACATTAGGAAAGTTTCATTGAATAGTGACTCACTGGGCATTAGTGTTTTAAAATTTAGTGCTCCCTGTAATGATATTTGTCATCATTATTATTCTTCAGAGCTATTCGAAAGTATTAATAAAATATGGGGGATGGAACCACACAAGCGTGGATGTATTTTTCACATTCCACTCTAAGTGTGTGTGCTTGATTATTTTAGTTAATTTTTTATTAAACCGCAAGATGCAATATATCATCTGGAGAAAAACATGTTCCATGCTTCTCGCTCAGCAAGGTACCAGTTTTTGTTCACAACGGAGGCAGTTATGATAGCGCGCGGGCTCAATTTGTTCTCATTATAAGAGTTGCCTTACCTTGAGGCATTGCGAAATTCAAGCACGATCAGAAAAAGATTGTCCAGCAAAAATAAACTGGTTTACTGGCTGACTGGTGACCGACTTTTTACTTGAACTGAAGGAAGTTTAGATTTTATGCGAATGAAAAGCAAAAAAAATCATTCTTAGTAATAATTACCAAAATGAATTATTAAGATTAAATTTATTAATAAGGTTGTTTTCACTTACAATACCCTTGATATAAAATTCTTAACAAGACTACAAATTTCACGGATTTTTTATCCCATATAGAAATGTTTGTTCACTTCCATGTGTATAAAAAATAATTACTAATCTCTCTAAAGATCGGAGAGATGAACTAATAAGCGAGCACGATGAAATTCTATTTTTTACATAGACTGCAGCACGGATGGTTTTCACTGAATAAATGAATTAATCGAATTTGAGGGATTAATTAAAATCGAACGAATGACTGGCAGGAGGCCGGAGGCTGAGTCAGCCTTTCCTAGAGACTAATTTGCTTTGAAGAGCTCCTCTGCTTTCAACAGAAGGAAAGACTTGGAAAGTATATCGAGAAAATGAAGAAGAGAATGAACCGACTTCAAAAAATCTGTAATGTCGCAGCAGTTCACACAGATTCTTAAGACTTGAAGTAATTGGAGTAAAACAAATGATTTGTGGAGCCTAAATGACAGGAACGTTTCACGGATATAATGCTTTGCAAATTCAAATAAATGGTTTCTAATTTCAATTATTGAAAAAAATTTCACTCAAATAATCCAGCAATGGTGAGAATGATCACTTTGATAATAAAAAAAATCAAGGTAAGACTGCGCAATGTTGCAAGGAGCAAGAAAGGACGACCAAAAGCTCGCTGGAAAATGACAAAATAACAATAACCTTGGAAAGCTCAAGATGGATGGCCGAATGGCTCAAATCACAGAGATAGGAGCAGCGAGCTGTGAAAATTCTGGTTGAAATAGACATGATGATACTGTTGAAGCATCGGCAACAGGCCAATATAGCAAGTTATTGTTACTGTGGAGAAAACCTGATATGGAGCCGTAATCAAGATCCATGGTTCTGCACAAAATCTGAACCATAACAGAAACAATATTCATGTTGTCAGAATGGTGGAAATTGTGACGTGTAGCCTCATGATTCAAATCATTCGGCGTCTTTTGCAAGCATTACGAGTGCAATATCCAGACATAAACAGATATTCCCATGGAATCGAGACCGAATTCATTCAGGCAAATTTACAAATAACATTCTAAGTTTGAGGCTCATCCGTCATGTGCCAGTTTTTGCGTTTCTCGCTTCGTCAGTTTCAAAGTTTCCTTGACGCAACTTTGAGTTCCAGTTTAGGGTCGATCGAAGCCGAAGCTGACAATGAAATTCATCTATAGAGTTGCAAGTCGTGAACGGTTGGATGCACACACGTTAGTCGGTAAAACTCGTACCTGATAAATCACTAACTTCGGTAGCGCCACAAAGGAAAATCGATGTTGGGAGGAAAGCAAATCACAAATCTTCCAGCCGTGACCGTAAAACAGCTGCCTACAAACTGAACACGGAGTTGCGATGGAAAAACAAGTCGGAAGTTTTACGGGAACAGGAAAAAACATCTTCCAATATCAAGGCGGAAGCCATGACGTCTGTCAATGTGAGACACGATTTAAAATAACTCGCCGACAAATTTGGTACAGGTAGACGAGCTGCACTAATCAAAATGGTAGGGCAAATTTTGGTATGTAATTAAAAAATGACGCCATATCATTTTTCTTCTACTGCGTCTCATTCAACTCTGGCTGAACACCTAGAGACAATCAATTGCAGCTCGCACAAACAAATATATTAATATTACATTCCGTATTTGATCATACGTAATTTTCATTCAGGCAAACAGCAATCCGAATAGGTCCTACTTTATTGCATGCAAAATCTACTGCATTTTTTATAAGTAGGTACTGCAAAATTTAAAGGGATATATATGTTGTTCTGTGGATTTTTAACACCATTATTGTAACACAGCCATTGAAATTTCTTGTCCATTGAACACATTGACCTGTCTGCAATCATCTGACATCGTGAGGTTGCGGCGTCGAGAAAATGACTCTGCGTTCTGCAATGTCAGTGAAGCATGCGCCGTCTTGTTCATTTAACTTGCAGTTATTGAGAGCCGGAGGCATATCAACGGTCGCTGCTAAAATCAGAGTCGCGGCCATGTACAGCAGTTTGCTGATAACGGAAGAGAGGGCGAGGTGCTGAAGCATGTTACTCCTAGCGTCATCCGAAGATTGGTCTGCGGAAGAAAAATACCTTTTTTGGGGCATGAATGTTTCAGTATTACAGGTGAGATTAATGAAGTAAGAGCCTCATTATGCCTCTGAATATACCCTACCTTTGGCCGGTTAAAAATGAGCAGAATATCTTCGCGAACTTGTAAAAGTATAACAGACATAAACTTATATTATAAAAGTTTCATCAAACTTGTCTACCAATCCAAAAAGTTTTCTTTAGAATGTGTAAGCTATTTTAGCAATTAAACTTATTTAAACATGCATTTCAGAAATTAAAATACTTAATTTTGTGGTGGATTTCGTTCTATGTTTATCAAAACATGAAAACTTTAATTTTTTTAACTTATTTAGTGGAGGAATGGGACAAGGAACGTATGTAACTTTTTCTGACATTTTATTAATTTATTTATGGAGAACTTCTCCGTAATAACGTGTAGAATTTTGGATGAACAAAGGAAAATGCGGCGGATTAAGCAACCGGGTGGCATGCAGGACTCAACGCACCGTTAAAAATATTTTAGGGACAAAGAACACTATTTTAACTTGGTGGCTTTTTATTAATACAAACCTGTCTACATAGTATACACATTTCTCTGTGAAATTATTCAGCTTACAGAAAAATATTCAATTTAGCAACGAGAAAATTTACTTAGTTTCAATTCTGTTATCAGTTGGAACTATTTAAGTACTGCAACAATTTTTATAAATTTTGAACACTGCTCTCATGATAGTTTTCCACGTAATGCGTGCCCTCGTATTTCAAATTAAATAGACAACAGTGATGGATATAAATGATTATGCTAGGTTCATGCGTCTTCGGAAATTTATTTATCTATAGAGCAAATCAAATGAGTTATCTCTCATATACTTTAATATTGTGACTCACGGAGGATTATTTAAAAATGTCAATAAATCTGGTGTAAGCTAACCGCCATGAATCTGCTAGGATTACTTACATCAGTTACTCATTCCTGGAATTTTTTGAGTTTGTAATATTCCCTAACTTTTATCCCAGTGCCTAAAAACGTAAAAGAACGGACATTTATTGTACCAATATGCAAATTTTATTTGACATTGTTTTAAATTCAATCGAACATCCATTTTAACATCTGTCAGCGTATAAAAACGGAAATTTGTCAGCGTAAAAAACGGAAATTACAATTTTAGAATAATATCCACATGTTACGTACTTTTACATAATATTCATAACTGCAATCTATTTTGCGTGATGACACAGAATCAATAGATATATAACAATTGAAACAATTCATTAAAATCATTTACCAGAAAGAACATAAGGACTGAAAACGGATAACAATTCGTTTACCAACTAAAGCCGAAAATGGTCGGCTCAAAGGTCTGCGGTATTTAAAAGTAACATTTCAATTACTCGGATGTCATTGCTGTCGATAGATATAGTTATTAATTCTTTCCTCTTTACTTACAATTAATGTAAGTAAAATGCTCTAAAAACGCTTAAAAAAGTTCCTTAGCTCGTATCGTTTTAGAACTATTTCCGTCACAACACAAGATGCATTTTTATTTTTTAAGGTCATCATTACGATGGTAAATTCTATGTAAATGTTTGAAATTGTGATACAGTGGGCCTCTTAATGCTAAAAAATGTATACGAACACTAACAAATGTATCAATAATCGCTGTCCTCGCTTAATTTCCATAAGCACGCATTAGCTTTATTAATATGCTTATAATTCGGTGTAGTTTGTGGAGTGATGCTCAAATATAGGATTTTCGAATAGATAAAATAGACACTTCAATTGATGTGAAGGAGATAACAACTTCATTTTTATTTTGTAATTCATTCATTGTTTCATCTGCATGAAGCATACAAATGAACCAATGAAGTGGTCTCTCAAATGCATCTGCACGTAGTTTTATGAGATAATTCTTCTTACTTATATATAAATTCGAGCCAATAGCGTCATCATAACCAATTGTAACCAACGAATTCACGACGAACCTTTTTTAAATAAATCCTGAATGTCCGCTAAGAAAATTTAAAGTTCCTTGCGTAAAATGTCTCAGGTATTTAAATTCCGTTTCCGTAATTAGACAAATATGTTCGTAGAGCTTTTAGCGCATTTTCTCATTTATGGAAAAAAGGCGCTATTGTGCTCGTCATGTTCGTCCGTCCATCCGTCCGTGCCTTCACATAACGGACAGACGAGAAAATGCGCTCTCTGTCACTCACTGCAGTGAGTACTGAGTTATATTTTTTCTGATGATATTTATCACCACATTTTTCATTTATTAGCGTTAGATCTCTTCTAATAGCAAATAAATGCTGGATAAGTCAGAGACACTTATGATTTTCAACGGAGTGATCGGATAATTAATTCTTAATCAGTTCATAATATTGGCATCTGGTCAATTATTATAATGTCGGAAAATATTTCGTTCACTAATCCAAAATATCTCCTTGCAATTAAATGGAAATTAGAGCTTTACAACAATGGAAAATTCCAACTTGATCGCAAGATTCCGCAAAATATCATGAAGTTTTACCTTTTTTTCTAGAGAATTACATATTTCTACTGAAACATCAGATTCAAAGCTAAGCTTCTTCATCGACGTTTTAGCCGGCAGAAATTCGAAATCAAAATTTGCATTGCTCACATCAATCAATTATATATTATCTCATACAATTATATCTTTAGAAATTTGAAAGCAAAGACAATTTACAAAAATTCACCATATTTTATAGAAAACATTTCAGAGCCCAGCTCCACCATCAGCAATTCGATTATTCTAGATTAAAGAAACACGTTTTATATTCTGTTTTGTAGCGCTGTGTTTTATTTGCGAATTCAGCTTCTAACTTCTGCTTTAAATTTCTAGTGAACTAACAACTGATTGTTTCCGTATCCAGAATTTTTGAACTGAACATTAAATTACGAAAATTCATAATTATTTGATATATCTCAATTTTTGGAAACTCATATCAATGGCATAGCCTCAGAAACTTTCCCTGTCAACCTGAAATTTTGTGCACCTAATTTTTCCACCGAGTAGCGGCTTTCCTGAAATTCAAAAATTTTGGTTTTCGGGTCACCTTATTGTCCTTATCAGCTGTCATTGTGGTGCCGGTATAAGGCAGCAGCTCTGCGGTATAATTCACTCAAATCTTTTGCACTACGTGTGCTTCGATCACTTAACTTACGTACAGCATGCTGGCCACATGATCTCAGCCAGCCATCTTTGCGTTGCTTTCGAATATTTCTGTCCCGGTAACTAAAGTTTATGAAAAAACACTAAATTAAGACCAGGACTGTTGAAAATATCTACCTAAATATTACACGTAAAACGTGGAAGCACTTGAAGGTAAATAAAACATGGCAAGTTATTCTTACAATGAGGGAATCGAAGCCGATTAATCAATAGGCAATAGCGAGGGCGGAGCCGTTAATTGGAATGGGCAGTGATGGAATGGGTACAATTTAAATCGTAACATGAAGTCAATAAAAAAGGTATAATTGAATAAAAATCAAGGAAAAATAATAAAATACGTTATGCTTTATGTTATCGCAGAAGTAAATCGTTTGAAAAGTACGTACAAAGCCGATAATTTACCCATTGAAACACAGAATTAAAAATGCATAAAAAGGGACGTAATAAAAGTATAAAAAAATGTTCATGAATGAATGATTTTACTAATGGATATTTATACGAGGTATGTGTCGTATAGCAGGGTGCCATAATTAAGCACCTACTCTAGTGCCATAAGCACCTACTAGATGTCTTTAAAACCAAGGTTATGGTATTATAATAACTAGACTAGTAATTGGCAGTGAAGAAATAAGTCATGCTGATTATGGGGCCGCCGCGCTATAGGTCGTGGTGACGCGCAAATAAATAAAATCATAATAGTGAACAAAATAGCAATATTTAAACAACAACGACTTGTGAACGAGTTGATTAATGCAAATTAACCATGGAATACTGTGAAATGAAATTCTGAATTATTTTAATTATAATTTAATTAAATTTCTGAATAATTATAATAATAATTTTTAAAAATAAATTGAAACAAGATAAAATTTAAATGAGCCGAGCGCTGTTACGATTCAGGTATTTTACCAATTAAGCATTTTCGAAATCTACAGACGACTGCAAGATAACATAAACACGATAAAGGGAAAAACGATAACAGAAGATAATGACGTACATATATGTACATGGTAATAATATAATTACAAAAGAAGTATCTACATTAGTACTTTGAAAATGAACTTTTCATGAGGATTTTAAAATGATTTGCATTTATGAATTCGTTCTTGACCTGAGGAGAAACAAATAATATTAGAAGTTATTTGATTATTTTGACTCGCGAATTTGATCTGTGAAATTTCAGAATGGACACGAAAATTTCGAAGGGCATTTCAGGCCTGCTTCTCTACTGACAGCGAAGCGTCGTTCACATTTTCCGTTCTTGACCTCAACATTTACGAAAAAATTTGCTGAAGTATGACATTGCTGCACTAATTTTATTCGAAATAAAATTAGATAATTGGGAAATTATCTAATCTAATCTCAATCAATACTGTCTCATTGCGGTTTAAAACTTAAGATTATTTACAACAAACAGAAATATTTATATCAGGCGAATATTAAACGTATCATGGAGTCTAATATTAGTAAATTTGGTAGATGACATGACATAAAGTTAAAGTAGTCCATTTATTTAACCTCACAAGCTGTTATCGAGCTCTGAACTCACATCACGAGGTTCTGCTTATGTAGCATCCATTGATGTTACTTCGGGAGTTGCGTCCAAAGCCTTCAGCGTTTCTTCTATTTCATCTTGCGACTCGTCCAAATCTTCTTTTAATTCTTCTTGCGATTCATCCAATGCTTCTTCTGATTCTCCTGAAGCTTCTTGAGATAGGTCCAGAGTTTCATGATCAGCTGCAGTTTGCGATGATAGTTTCCTGACCGGAGATGGCAGAGCTCTCAACGCCTTCGTCACGCCCTCGATGACAGCCGCAACTTCTCGACCCTCGGCTGGGAAGTCGAAATTTTCTTTGCTAGATCCTCGACCATGATCTGTGTCTTCGGTTTCCATGTCGTCTTCATCAGATTCAAAAACTGCCTGAAGAAGTTGATTAAAATGAATTAATTGCATCTTACAACGAGTACAACAAAAATTGCATTAACAAATTAAGGCTAAGAATAGCTAATCTGATGACGTAAGGCCACCAAATACACAATAGAGTGGTAAACATATTTCCTCACCATAGCAGTGACTTGTGCCCTTCGGATCCTCTGCAGGTGCATCATAACATAGCGTCGTTTGTCTGTGAGTGTGCAGTAAGGGCACGTGCATTGCTCAAACGGGCAAATAGAGTGGCCTCGTTTTTTGGGAAACTGGTTGTGGTTCCGACACTTGTCACAAACCTGTTCGAAGGTAAGACTTGATGAGATTGTTTCTAAACGAAATAATACATATTTATATAGATTTTACATTACTTTTTGTATTATAGTAGGATTAGTATAGTAGTTGAAATTATCTATGACCAAATGATGCAGAATGAAATCACGAAATCACCTGACGTAACTTAGCCAAGTGGCCAAGTTTTGCTTTGTTGAGTTCTTTTGCCTGATGTCTCCATAGCGCCTGTTGGTGTTTCATAACAATCCTCGCTATCCTCGTAAGGCGACACAACAAACACTGACACTTAGTATTAGGGCATTGGTGGCCTGGCTTCGGCATCGTGAAGCCGTGGTTTTGGCAAAACGTGCAGCTTTGCGTCCGCTTTCGTTTGGTTCGCTGCCCGGAGATGCGAGACGGAGAAGTTGGGACAAGCGCGGGTTTGGAACCAGCCTCTTCTATAAGCGGCGGTGCAGGTGCAGAGCACGATTTGCTGCCTCCATTACTCTGAAAACGAAACAAAGACTTAAGGCTCGTGTCAGAGTGAGGCGAAGTCTGAGAGCGAGGTATTCGCGACCATCGTGTGAAATCCTCGATCTGCCCTAAGCTCGGCTAGGCGCTATACCCTCGAGCTTGTAGTCTTTGTAATATGATATCCTAACCAGCTCTTATTTTGCGGCAACTGGCGGCTCTCAGGTGGCCGAAAAATGGCCAGCGATCGGCTATAACTAATTGGACTAGGCCGACCACTGGCCGCATATTATTCCACTTTCCCTCAATTCATAGTTGTGTTACGAAAGAGTCAACTTTTTAACATGCCCTATTCCACTAGTCCACGGCGCGACAAACGCGTGATCTACGTATTCATCGAAGTGCAAGACGGACTTCATGTAGCGGAATTGACGTATTGCCTCCCTCCAAATAATTTCTTGACTTATAAATAATCCCTTAAAAGAATTCTTGATAAAATCTGATCAAATTTAGCTCATTTAGCCTATTTCTTATTATTTGCAAAATTTCTTTTGCAAATACATTTTCGCCTGCTGCATTTTCGCCTGCTGCAGCTTCCAGCTCAAAAGTGTTCATCTGTGTTGTGCTCTACCTTATTCAAGAATCATATTGTTCTTCATGTAACATCTAACTTGTTAAATTACAATATATTTTGATTAACGATTAACCTCATTTCGATCCGCGTTCATCGTCGACAAATCATCGATATCACCATTCGTTTGATCTTCGGCTCTTCTTGTCATTTGATCGTTGTTTTTCAAACTTCTTTCGGTTGAAGCTTGTGGATTATTTTCAGTTTCCTGCCAGCTTCTCCCAGCACCTTGACTTCGGTAGTTGCTTGCATTTCCCGTCGTTTTTGTTCGAAGATTCTGTGAACTGCTGCTCACATCTGACGTGGATCCCACGCCGCATCCGCTCTGTGAATATTCCTTACTTTGG